TAATGCATTCATGCCTGTTCATTTCTGCAGGGCCAATGTACATTCACAAGCCTGAGAGGTGCCTGTCCAGGCCATGAGAACACAAATCAGGTCACTGAACAAAGAGAAATAAGCTAATAAGAAAGTAATAATCTGGGTCTTATTACATTTATATGTATACTTTATAATTAATAATGATTACCATTCCTGTTACAGTGTTCAGAAGTATATATTCTTTCATCTTACTATTATAAAGTGGAAAAATGGTCGATATTAGTTTCTATAAATCAGAAATAAATATATTTTTCCTGACTAGTTTTCTGCATCTTCTATAAAAGTCTGTAATAAAATTATATTGATTTACAAATAAATTAGGGAATTCATAACTCTAGAGATTATTACCTGTTTGCTTTTACTAACTTCATTTTCACAAGTAGAATGTTCTTCAAAAATCACTCTGCAGTGCATTATTAAACTTGTTGTCTGTGAGGTCGACAAGGGATCCCAAATGAATTCTACAAAGTCTGAAATAAATAGTTCAGTAGTGCACAATTTATTTACTAGATGATTTTGCTTTTCATGTACAAATAACTGAGGACTTTAGCAAAGACCACTTCACTCCTCATTCAGTTTAAAATCTGTGGCCAACATTACCATTACATATTTGCCTACACCACCCATTTCCTTGCCCTTCTTGGGCTTTGTTGAACTCATCTGGCTAAACCACAATCCTAGTTAAATCCATCTTGTTACTGAGTCTGTGCCTGTGACCATGCAAATAAAATGTGACTAGAAAAAAAAATCACATTAAATTGATTATCGTAATACTCAAGTGAGCCCTTAAATGTTGCCCAGCAATCATATTTCTCTTTCCCTGGTCCATTCGCTCTCCCTCTCGCCTAGATAATAGTTTCATACCTTCTCCCTCCCTCCTCCTTGCTCATGCTCAGTTGATGCACTTTACTCTTCTGGGTGACTATTTGTTACTTTTTTCTTCTGCCTTGCTCTCTCTCTCAGCTAATTACTTACTAATTTGATGAGAAAACAGAAGCAATCAGAGAAGTTCCATAAGCTCCTATCACAGCACCTACATCTCTCTCTGCATCTGTGCCCATATGCTCTAACTTGCCTCCTATTCCTATGCACGAGGCACCCATACTCCCAGTTAAGGCCAACTTTTTATTTGTGCATGAGATCCCAAACCCTCTGGCTTCCTCAAAGATCCTGTCCCCAGAATTCTGTCCTTTCACTTCGGTACTGTCATCACTTCTACTGAATCTTTTCCATCAGCCTACAGACAATTATTTCTCTTGTATTAAAAATAATTCTCCTCTCCTGGCCAGCCACCAAAAAAAACCCCAAAGAAACAAACCAAAAAATAATAATCCCCCTCTTTACCCTATTTTACAGACAATTATTTCTCTTGTATTAAAAATAATTCTCCTCTCCTGGCCAGCCACCAAAAAAACCCCCAAAGAAACAAACCAAAAAATAATAATCCCCCTCTTTACCCTATTTCCCCCTCCAGTACTGCTCCATTTCTCTCCTACATTTACAACAAAATTCCTCAGATACCATCTAAACTTCTATCTCCAGTTTCTCTTACCCCATTTGGTCTTGAATTCTCTTTAATTAGTCCTTTTCTCACACCATTCCACCTAACCTACTTTTATCAAATCACAGATGACATTCACATAGCAAATTCCAATGGTTGATTCTAATCCTCACCTGATTCATCATCAATTTTAACAGATGATCATTCTTTCTTCCTAGATACACTTTCTTTATTTGACTGCCTTGATACCACACTCCTAGTTTACTACCTACCCCTCTGGTCTTCTTTTCTGGATGCTTCTTGCTTCTTTGACTTCTAAATGCTGCAGTACCCCAGGACTCAGGTCATTTACTTTCTCTCTCCTATTTACATTCTCTCTCTTTAGTATTTAAATTCAGTTTTATGGCTTTAATGGTACTGGTATGCTGACAAATTCTAAATCTATACCTCCTGCCTGAACGTCCCCTTTGAGACTCATGTATTCAATAATCTACTTAGCATTTCCACTTAAATTACAGGCATCTCAAACTCAACATGTTCCAAACTGAGGTCCCAATACAACTCCCAGTCTAAACTTACTCCTCTTAGTCTTTTCCATTTCAGGAAATGGAACCTCTGTCTTTCCAGTTGCTTGGGCCAAAAACCATGGAATCAGTCTTGATTCCTCCCTTTCTCTCTTGACCCACATTCAACCCATTAGTAAATTCTGTTAGTGCTACCTTTGAAATACATACAGAATTCAACTCTAATAGGAACCCAGTATTAATTTCTCATAAAGCTACTTATTTTGGGGACTGTTTACTTATAAGTATTTAGATTTTTCAGAAGAATACTTAAATGAGGCACATGTATTTTATCATTAATAAAGCAAGTTAAAAGTAGTACCTAATATACCCCACAAATGCACCAACAGTTTCATTTAAAAATTTTTTAAACTTTAATCAAGTGGCTAAGAAGCAATATAAATCTGACTGCTTCATCTTTAGAGTTCTAAAGTTTGCTGTCAAAATGTATTCTCAGTGACATGGTGAAACAGATCAGTGTTTCACGTACTTATCAAGTACAACTTCTGGCAAAAAAGAGTCTTCAGATTTTGAAGTCTGATGCACAAGCATAATGCTAAGTGCTTAGTTGCTAGCGGCAGATGCAAGGGAAATGCAGTAATTTTTTCTTAAAGAAAAAGAGAAGAAATAAAAGAAACATAACAGTAGAAGTTAAGGGAGAGAAAGTACATGTAGTATGAATGGAAGTACACCACAAACAAATGACTTAGGTGTCAAAAAAGCAGCAGTAATTTCACAAATGCTAAAAGCTCTGAGTGTTCACAGTTTGGTAGCCAACCACTTGCACAAAAAAGTACTGTATAACCAGCTTAAGTTTGACATCTTGATTTTTACTGCATATAACATTCCCTTGTGTTCAGTAACTTCCGAAAAAAACATTTGTGAAATTTTTACAAAATTTGTGAAATAAAAGAAATTATGATCTTACACTCTGCCAAAGAACAATTTAATTTTATCAATATTATAAAGCAGTACCTGTAAGTCGGGGAATAATTGTTTTGTTGATGACAGCAGACAAGATTTTTTTATCCGAACTATCTTCTCTCTTCGAATCTTCTACACTGTGATCCACAAATTCTTCTATGCATGTGAACCACGGCATCTGTTTTAAACCTATGGAATCCAACTAATAAAATTAAGACAGTTATAAATAAATTCTTACAATTAGCATATTTTAAAATAGTTAACTTTTTCAATAATCACCAGAGGTGTTCCAAACATCGAAGGAGAATAATCCCATATTATTATATATATTAGTATATTATTATATACTAAGACATGGTATCTAAGCAATATAACAGGAAGCTGCATTTCAAGCATTCATCCATACAACAAATTCAAATTCATGCATTTGTCTGTACAACAAATATTCAACAACTGCCTATTGTATGCTGGGATCTTCAGAGCCTACCACATGGCCAAGTACTCTGCTAGGAGCAAAATACACATTTGTTAGGCACTTGAAATAGCCATGGAATTTATTCATAAAAATTCATCTACCTCAAGCAAAATTTACTTCTGGCCCCTTCAATTCTCATAAACATAAATGTGCAATTTGAGGGCCGGCCTGTAGCTCACTTGAGAGAGCGTGGTGCTGATAAATGTGCAATTTGCATGTGGCTTAGCATATTAGGCAAAGAGCAGACAGCCAATTATTACTTGTTGAATGAATGAATGAATGAAAAGATCTCTGCTAGACATAACAAAGTACCCAATTCGGCTTGAATGATTAACAAAGAGGCTACTGTCCAATCAACTACCTAGCACTTTCTTAGGGATAAGCCCGGTTCCTGTACTGCGAAAACTCAATGGTCCTAAACCTATCATAGAGCCAACAGGCATGCATGACTAAGACAGAGAAAGATAAGGACATGGTCCCATCCTTTACTTTGTTAAATCTTTATCTTCAGCTCTCCTCTATTCCTAGAACTTTATTTTCTCATTTTTTTGCTTACTAGGCAGATCCACGTGGATGTCCCCCTATCATTTCATTATCTATGAAATAAAACTTCCTTCAAATCCTTTTCTCTTTCTAAAAAGTTCCCACTTTTATTAATGGAACTTCTATTCTAATAACCCAGAATCCAAACCTTGGTTTTATCTTTGAATTTGGAAGGCTAGGGTTATTCTCTACATTTTACTAATTCTTACTCCACAACACTTCTTGTAATCAATCCTTTCTTTCTCTTCATTTTGTCACTATCACCCTACATGAGGAATTCATCACCTTGAACTTGGTCTATAGATATAGCCTTCCAGAATATATCTTTACTTTTTATTTCCCTTTGCTATAAGTTAGCCTACTGCTAGGATTTCCTAAAACATTACTTTCATCATGTCCCTTCTCCCATTATTTACCAAAATAAGTTCATATCGCTTAATTTAGGATTTGAACATCTGTGCAATCTCTAGCTCTTGAAGTAATATTTCTCCCATTATACCATTATAAAATATCTCTGTCTTTCTCTCTGCTGTTTAAATCCTATATACTCTCCAAAGATTTGCTTAAACTCTTCTTCCTCAATGAAACTTTCCTAACCAACTATTCTCAATATGTCATCTCCAACTTCAGAAATCCTGGAACAAGGTTTCTCTGTCTAATCTCCTCAAATCCAATACTACCTTATACTTTTTGGGGGGATTCCAAATCTGGAATTTAAGTAACTAATGTGATCAGCATAATTTTCGAAATCCTGGAACAAGGTTTCTCTGTCTAATCTCCTCAAATCCAATACTACCTTATACTTTTGGGGGGGATTCCAAATCTGGAATTTAAGTAACTAATGTGATCAGCATAATTTTTCACATGTTAAGCATAAATACCTTAAGAGGATTCCAATCAATCAACTGAACTCGTATTAGGGGATTTAAAAGCTTTGGTATGCATAAACTAATAAAAGCTTCATAATAGGAGTCAGGAAACTTTTCTCGCCATTGCTGAAATTTCAACAAAATATTCTGAATGCTGCAAAAATCATCATGCACATCTTCAAAAACTTTTTTATGATCCTGTAAAATGTCACCTATAAACAAAATATGGTGCATTTTAACATTCTGAAATTGAAGTTTCCTTACTTATAAACACAGTCATGTGATGACTATGTAATGAATTGAGCTGAAAACTTTCCTTTGATATTAACACATAAAAATATGTTTTTATTAATAAACCCTTTAGTAACAAGAATAACATCAACAATAAAAGGTTCTACCATTTATTCAGCCCCTATTATATTGTAAAATATTACTAAGACATTTTCTCATTTCATCACCATAACTATCTTCCCTGCAAGGTAGGAGTAGTCTACCTTATTTACAGACAACAAATAAAAAAACAAACATCAGATTTTGGGAGGCCAAGAAATTTGCTTAAGATAATACAGAATAGAGCCTCTTCGAACCCAAGTCTATTTAACTCCAAAGCCCAGAATCTTTCAACTATACAATCATACCTTCTCATAAAAAGTTTCACTAAATTCAGTTGTTTTAAATTAAAAATGATAACATAGGAAGTATGAGGTAAAGAAATGAAACTAAAATGTTCATCTGTAACAGGAAAAAGCTTAAGGAAAAACTATAAAGATGCAAAACTACGCATAAGGCTCTGCCTCCTCCATTTCATCTCATATTTTTCAGAGGTAGGAAAAGAGTTTTAAAGGGGGGGAGGGAAGTTTTCCATTTTCCTGAATTTTCCCAACTATTTTATATAGGTAATGTATTTAAGGGCACTCATAGCAAAGCATTTCTCACTATTTCAATACTTCATACCAAGACATATTAGAAACTTGGTAATTGACCTTGGCTTTTTCGGAAGTCAATCACCTCTGCTGAAGACAGTTCATCATCACTAGATGTCCCTTCCTGATGGTTACAATTCCCAGAAAGCACCCTTGCTTGTCTTCTTTGTGTCCTATATTTTGCAACAAACCAAAAATATATGTAAAGCAAACAGCTTTTGCTGAAAATAAATGCTTTAAAACATAGAAATAATTTTATCATTTGTTTAAAATGGCCAGAAATACACCATCATATTGGTGCACAATTTTATCTTAATATTTTTGACATTTAAGCTTTAGACTGAGTTGGTGATTCTCCCTCTTTTTTCTTATAGGACATTCCCACAGGATAATCAACTCTGAAGAGGGGGTAACAATATAATTAGGACCAGCTTCCAGTTGTGAGCAATTCCTAGTTTGTAAAAAAAATGACATTCTTTCAACTGATTCAAATACATCAGTGTGTCTTTAAAGCAGTCAAAGACTACTTACTAAATTTTGGTTTTACATTATTCTCACAAATTAATATGTCAGGTTACAGTTAATTACATTATATGGCTAATTATATTTAAGTAGTGAAAAGTACTTGCTCAATAATGCTTTAAGTCTTCACTTTATATAGTTACCTTCGAGATTCAATCTTTCCTAAAATCCATTGAGTTTTTTCATCTGTAGCCAAGCTTCCATTTGTTGATGTCTCATCTCTGCCTGATAATAAATAAAATTGATTTTTTTTACTGCAAATTCTCAAAATAAAAAAGTGAAACATTTTAAAAATAAAGGTAGTATCATGGATGTATATACATATATGTATATATAAATGCACATAGAATATGCTTAAATTGCATAATTCATTATGTAGTGAAATTTCAATGTTAATTGCCTATCACAATATTAAAAGTCATAAAGTTTGCTTGCCTAAAAAATGTAACTTGGCTGGTAAACGTAGTTCAGTACTTGAGAATAACAACAAAACTCTACTACAAAGTTTCTTCCCCTCATAGTCTTTTTCAGCAGTTTTCACCACTTTTCTCTGTAGCCAAATGCTAGAAATATTTTTATGACCAATATCTCATTCTTATTAGTCTCATATGTACTGTTATTTATGTCTGATTAAAATACTGTGTGTTTGAAAGGCACTTTGCCTCTGCCTTTATCAGCTAC